ATCAAGTAATAATTTTTTCAGGAGATGGCTCACCACTGCTTTTTCATGTTTATCTAAGTTTCTAACCGACACTGGATATCAATTTGCTCAGTTTTTCCTATATGATTTTTTCTGGTATAGGTTCAGATTAAACCAGCGAAGAAAAAGCCTGGGAAGTCCCTATCGCAAGAGTGACAGACACTGGTCTTGATCTTCAAGAGGCTGCTAAGAGACTGAAGATTGATTGGGATACAGCTGCGGAGATTGATGATGCTGAACTTAGTGATGAATCAGAAGTGCCTCCAGTTTTGGTTAGTTTCCTTGGCTTTCTCGTGATAAAATGATGTTATTGTGTTCTTGCAATTGACAGATTAAGGAGAACCAGGAATAATAACTATTAGACATCTACTGCTGAGTATGCTTTGATTTTACACTAAATGAGATAATTTTCTCTAATTTATTATTCCTTTCAACAGAAAAGTAAAAAGGAAAAGTATATATCATCATTAGAATAATTAATCAATGTTTAGAATATGCAATACTTATTATTTAGAACTAAAATACTTTGAAACCTGTACTTGATTTGATTTTAAAAAAGACAGGAGCAGCTGATCGATGTTAAACTGCCTTCTGCAAAATGATCGACTCACTCACTCACTAATTGTTTGCTATAAGAGGCACTAAATTAAAATTGGTTACTAGTTTAATGAATGAACCTTGCTAGCTATCATTTGACCAAAAAAAGTTAAAACAAACAGATGATGATGATCCATAGTTGGATAGGGTTAGCCATTGGCTTGAATGAGTGAGTCGATCAGTCCACTACAACCAGAGATTGATTGGCTAGGGGGGAGATTTCTGCTTCCATGATCTGTTCGGGATCCCTTTCCATGATTTCCCCATCAGTGTCCAAGAACCACTTGACCAACTTGTGGTTCTCGGAGTAGGAGGAGTCGATCACATCCAAAAACTCTATCTGTGGTACCACATCCCCGTACCCTTTTTCCTTGAACTTGCTCTGTATTGCCTCATAATCACTCTCCCATGGATGTGCCCAAACCTCGTCATAGTGTAGGTAGGTGGTGATCACAAATACCTTGTTGATCATCTGTTCTGGCTTCAAATTCCCATGCACAGCAACTTGTAGAATCAAATCAAACACCTTTTGAATATCAACCTCTCCCTTCAGGTCCGGGCAGTCCATCCTCCTCAAAAAGTCGCACTTGGCCTTGAGGCTATAGCCTTGTGGTATGCAATGCAGTCGAGGGTTTCGGCTGAAGTTGATCACCTTTCCTTTCCATGCCGGCTCTTCACTCAGTTCAGACACTAACAGTCCCAAGCCCACCAATACATCAATGGGGAATCCACTCATTCTTGAGGGGCAGACATCACAAACAGCCAAGCTGTTGTTCAAATTCTTCTTCTTCTTCTTCTTAGCTTTGCATGTGACTATGCCCTTGATCATGTCCCCCAGCATTGCGTTCCACTGAAGCTCAGCCACTTGCCCGAGATCCTCATCGTTCACATAGCATATGATCTGATGTGGAAGCAGAGCCGCAGGGTTCTCAATCTTGGAAGCTGCAGCTTTCAATTCCTCCAAATATATCTGAGACACGCAGTCGTCTTCATCAAACTTGCAATCATAACCCCACCTGTTGCACTCGGGAGGTTTATTAAGTGCAATGTCATAGTCCGAGGCAGTCATCTTCCTCAAGGGCTCCACAACCTCCTTCATCAGCCGCTCTCGGAGTCTGTAAGCATAACCAGCCTGTCGTGCTGTGACGTTTTCTTACGTGTTTTCAACTGTGTTTTCGATGGCTATTGCTTTCCACATGATTTCAGAGGCTTAGTGGGTCACTTCTGAGGTGTATGAGGTGGACTACCTGCTGGATAGTTGGGAGAGCACTCATTGCCAATTTGTTGTCTTGCTTTGAAGGATATCACTCTCAATTTTCTGGTGTAAGTGGGAGGTGGCTGAAGGGCTGGAAAACCTTCCTCGCAACGCTCTCCAACAGGAAAGTGGCTCGATGGTCGAGCCAATCGGCCGCATTAGTGATCTCGAAGCACTTATTAGAAGAGGACTCATCATTATCATGATCATGAGCATTAATACTATCATCCATTTGCATCCCCTTCTTCAGAAGTTGAAAATCACGGTTGAGGCAGTGGGCGAAAAGATCCGAAACGAGGTCGTGTAACAAGCGATAATCGGGGTCAGTCTCGTACCTCTCGACAGCCACCTTGTCAGCCATGGTGAACATCATCTCGTCATCGACCCCGTCTTGGCCTGCAAGAATTCGGTGGAGAATCCTCACAAGGTCTCTCATACCACCACCATATCCGAACCAGGCGGCAATTGGCAGGAGGTTGGAGGCGAGGGTCTTGGGGTGGTTGTGCTGGAGCCAAAAAGCCGCCTTGTAGAAGGCTTCGGCATCTGTTATTGAACCTGAACGCCTGTCTAAGAGGTTGCAGATGAGCTTGAGGGTGGTTAAGGGATTGTGGGACCAGGCAACCGGGAGGAGTTGCTTCAGATACCTGTGGTTGGCCTCTGCTTTGGCCGGGTTGTCCCGATGGTAGACGTTGAAACACAAATCAAGGCAGGGGTTGTTAATGTAGGGTCTGTTGCTGTTGTTGAGGGTGAGGGGGGTGGTGATTCTAGCAGTGGTAGCTCTGGAGGAGGAGGAGACACCATTAATCTTGTGAGTCCGGTGGGGAGTGTGGGGAGTGTGTGGGTGGGGATATCCTATTTTTATAGGGAGTCACAATTATTAAAGAGAATCTGTCGGAAGATTTCATTACTTTTATTTACTTGCAATTTCTTTCTTTCTTTGAAATCTATCCATCCCATCCTCTCTAGGAGAGACAGTTGTTGATCTAGTAAAAGAAGGGTTTGTTTTGTTGTACAAGTTTTAAGATTCTTTCCTTCGCCATGTGCTGTAATAATTACTTTCCTTTTTGTATTAGGATAGTATTCTAGGGTTTAGGGTTTAGCAACAAACACAGACTTCTAAAACTCCTCTCTTTCTCATTCTTATTATTTAGAACTAAAATACTTTGAAACCTGTACTTGATTTGATTTTAAAAAAGACAGGAGCAGCTGATCGATGTTAAACTGCCTTCTGCAAAATGATCGACTCACTCACTCACTAATTGTTTGCTATAAGAGGCACTAAATTAAAATTGGTTACTAGTTTAATGAATGAACCTTGCTAGCTATCATTTGACCAAAAAAAGTTAAAACAAACAGATGATGATGATCCATAGTTGGATAGGGTTAGCCATTGGCTTGAATGAGTGAGTCGATCAGTCCACTACAACCAGAGATTGATTGGCTAGGGGGGAGATTTCTGCTTCCATGATCTGTTCGGGATCCCTTTCCATGATTTCCCCATCAGTGTCCAAGAACCACTTGACCAACTTGTGGTTCTCGGAGTAGGAGGAGTCGATCACATCCAAAAACTCTATCTGTGGTACCACATCCCCGTACCCTTTTTCCTTGAACTTGCTCTGTATTGCCTCATAATCACTCTCCCATGGATGTGCCCAAACCTCGTCATAGTGTAGGTAGGTGGTGATCACAAATACCTTGTTGATCATCTGTTCCGGCTTCAAATTCCCATGCACAGCAACTTGTAGAATCAAATTAAACACCTTTTGCATATCAACCTCTCCCTTCAGGTCCGGGCAGTCCATCCTCCTCAAAAAGTCGCACTTGGCCTTGAGGCTATAGCCTTGTGGTATGCAATGCAGTCGAGGGTTTCGGCTGAAGTTGATCACCTTTCCTTTCCATGCCGGCTCTTCACTCAGTTCAGACACTAACAGTCCCAAGCCCACCAATACATCAATGGGGAATCCACTCATTCTTGAGGGGCAGACATCACAAACAGCCAAGCTGTTGTTCAAGTACCAACCAGATATGTATAACAACAGATTTCATGTCTATTTCCCAACAATCTTATTCACTCTCTTCCTCTACGACTTCATAACCCATCTCCCTGTGCAGCTCTGTTCCTTCCGGCAACTCCCTCTGTAATATTCTCTTAATTTGAAGCCATGATAGTAGATAAGATGCTTGGAAAATATCTTATTGCACCAAGTAAGATAACTATAGTGAGAATCCCCCTTTACATATTCAATGAAATCCAATAGGGGTTATGATTTTGGACTACAAGTTGTCGGATTTTCATGTTTATCTAAAGTTCAACTGTTATATTTTTGTAATCTAATCTCTAGCATATATCCCATATTGGTGTTGAAGGGGAAATATTACTATTGTTGTGATTTACAAGCTATCAATACATCCCCTTGTCTCTAGCATATATCCCAGACCAAGCTTAAGAGATCGTCCCACTCATCATGGAACCCATTAAAATGAGAATCCTTTGGGTTCGAATTGTTGAGAGATTTTATTACTTTACCATTTACTGTATCAAAATTTCTTCTCTCATCAGGTCTCTTGTTACAAATTACAATATGAGTTGGTTCAAATCGAATTTTGGTTGGATGGTTTATAAAGTTGGAAGCCAAGCCAATGAATTGCCAAAACGACTCCATTTTTTATCCAATGAATTGCCAAAAGTATCAAACTCAAAAAGTCTGAGTAGGTGAAAAATATTCTCTTAGTCAAAATAAAGGTTCAGAGAATAAGACAACTTATATCTTTTTCTATGAGAATTGGAAGGAGAGTTGCAGTGGAGAAAAATGACTTGCTTCAATGAAGAAGACAGATCTTGGCCACACAAAAAAAAAACAAAAAAAAACCCACCTATGAAGGAGAGGGAAAACGGAAGATCAAAAGAGGAGAGAGAGAGAAGTTTTGAGAACATAAATTCATCTTCACGAAAAAGGAGTAGTAGTATTTTGTTTTATATTTTTTAAAGTGAAAAAGTTATGTTAGCATTCATCCCAACCGTTGAAAGTGATCAGATCTAAGGTTTCAAAAGTGTGTCAAATTTTATGGCTTTTTGTTTGCCCCTCGTGTGTGTATATATCCCTTTTATTGAGGGGTACTTCAGATAATTTTATTTGATGGACACATTTTAGGATCTCCTACAAATAATTTTTCAACAATCGAAACCATCTATTTATTAAGTCTACATTCATAGATCATAGCATGTACAACATGGATCCACCTGATCCTCCTATCCATGGAGGTAACCTCCCGGATAATTTGTTGCCTCCAACGTCGATACTCAACAAAACAGAGCAATTTTGCAAAGAATCAGGAATATTACCGCCAAAATTGTTGTTGTTTAGCTTCAATATTTGAAGATAACTTAATAGCCCCATTGAAGTGGGTATATTATTACCACAGAGATTGTTGTAGGCAGCATCTACAATGCTTATCATGCTCCCCAAACTCCATGCATGTGGGAGTTCTCCAGAGAAATGATTACTCCTTAGGGAAAGGGCTGTCAGGTTTTGCATATCGCAAATAGAATGTGGAAGAGTACCATTCAAATCATTCTCTGAAAGAAACAATTCTACCAATTTGGGCATCAGCTTGTCAAAATTTGAGGGAATTGGCCCGGAAAATAAATTGCTTGAGAGATCAAAGTAAGTGGTGAGAATGGAGGACCAGAGAGATGTGAGAATCCTCTTCTTGGCCTCTGGCAAAGCCAACAGCAATCTGCCATGTTATAAAGACAAACGGAAAGCAACTTCTCCTTACCACAAGGAAAATTACTTACTCTATGTAGAGAGCGAGGAGTTATCTTGCCGAACCTTGAGCCCCGCCAACCAACCCCACCAGTCCCCCCTTTCTGCAATTAATCAATTGAGCCAGTACTGAAGTTACTACATCAGGGTGTTTGTAGCCTCCTGATTAGAGACAGTATACTTCACAGTATAACTGTAAGGTTAACAAGGTACCTCAATAGACCTGGTTCTTTTTTTCCTTGTTACGGTAGTGGAGAAATCTCTCCAAACTGAAGCTTGCTCCTGTACCTGTGGCCCTTGTGGTTTGATTGTGTGCCTAGTGCACCGCTTGTGAGTTTGTGTTTTTTTTCTTTTCTTTCTGAGTCCCCCCGCCTTTCCCCTGGGGTTCTTACTGTGTGCTCTCATGGAGCAACCGGAGCCGCTCGTTGTGGGTGAGGATGAGGTGGAGGCTATGTCTATATGCTTTGAGGACAGTCTCGACTTGGAAGAACGTCATGAGAATCGGATAACTCTAGTGGGTCTTCTTATTGCAGACCAGGAGCCCCCTCAGTCAGTGGTGAAAGAAGTTTTAAGGGTTGCCTGGAGCAATATGGGAGCAGTGAAGGTTTCGAAAGCAAAACCAAATGTTTTTGCTATCACGGTGGGTCAAGAAGACGTGGCACGTCGGCTGATTGACGGAAGCCCCTGGTTTGTGAAAGGTTACACACTTTCAGTGAAGTCTTGGCCCTTATACTGTTCTATTGATGACATTGAAGCCAACCGTGCTGTTTTCTGGGTTCAGGCGCACGGTTTGCCCCGTAATCTATGTACTGCAAAGAATGCTCGTGCTCTTGGTAGTAGGATTGGCTCTGTTCTGGAAGTGGAAGACAACGGGGAAACCGGTTTCAGGGGTTTTTTAAGATTCAGAGTTGATATTGATGTGTCAAAACCCATCCCACCGGGTTTCACCACTCCATGCCCCACCACAGGAAAACGAGCCATCCGACTCAAGTATGAAGGCTTGCGTGACTTCTGCTTCCGCTGTGGGCGACTGGGCCATTCGCGTGGCTGCTCTCTCCCGGTTAATCATCGACTTGA